GCACACATGCATATGGCGTCTGTGCGATGCTCCAGCTGCTCCTGGAGGATCGCGCAGGCGCTGTATGCATCCTGCGCATGCGTGGAAGCGCAGAATTCGGCAAAACCGGGTAAGGAGCGGGCGCGCGGGCGCACGGGTGCGCGGGCATGGGGGGGGGCCCTTCGCCGTTCCCAGAAGTTACTTACTTCCGGGTTCGGCGACCAACCGGATCGCAGGGACCGCCACGAACCGGTTGAAACCCACACCTGGTTACGCGGTACTAGGGATTCGAACTGCCGACCTTTCTGATTGACAAGCTCAGTGACTTAGCCACTGAGCCACTGTGTCCTTTTTGGTGAGGAATAGAGGGATTTAAATTACTTTTGGAAAAGCATCTTTGGGACATCTGGCATACAAATTCTGGGACACACTTCATGCGTCATGCTTAATTCGAGCTGCATTTGGTTAAACCAAAGGAAGGGAAACCAAACAAAACTTTTGGGAATCTGTTGTTCATACACTCTGAGGTGGATGCCAGAAAGTGATTGGTCATCTTCAGTATTTAAACACAAAATTATAAATATATGCACACTCATTCACACACATATACCTTGTTTCCCTGAAAATAAGATCTCCCCAGATAATAAGCTTTTTGAGGGTTTTTTAGTGCATGAGCTAAAATATGCCCTCCCCGAAAATATAGCAACACAGCAGCAGCCATGAGGTGACCACGCTTGCCGTCTCCTGCACCTCAAAAATAATAAGACCTTTCTGAAAATAAGACCAAGTGCTTATTTTGGGGGTCAAAAGAAAATAAGACCCTGTCTTATTTTGGGGGAAACACGGTACACATATTTACACATACGCACCCTAACATAATTCTACTCCAGAACAAAATAATTCCTCAGTGTTGCCTGAGGTAACTCCCTCACTGCCAATCCAGGACTAAAACCAACTCTAAAAAGTGTTTCTTGTCCAAAACCTGACAGGAACCTTTCTTTTCCTCTCAGTGATTAGATAACTGCTTCTGAACACATCAAGCTGGTTTGTTATGTAAAAGGCCAGCTGTTCCCTACTATACCGTAACAAGAAAATAAAAACGACGTTATAACATAAACCAAATCAAATACAGGAAGTCTTCGACGTAGGAGCATAATTAGGACCAGAATTTCATTTTTTTTTTTTACAAAATGTGAGCTATACCCAATTTATGACCTTTTTGCCATTAAACCATGGGATGCAACAACCATAGTAAATACATGCCAATTTCCAAGCACCTGGATTTGATCACTTGATCCTGCAGATATTGTGATGGTTGTTAAGTGTGAGTACTGGTTACAAGTCACTTTTTTCCATGCCACTGTAACTTCAAACGAATGGTTGTAAGTTGAGGACTACCTGTCATATTACTATTCTCATTCAAAATCATGCCAAGAAATGCACTCTGAGTAATAACCATTCACCTACTCCAGCACAGTAACCCACCATTCTATTTATACCTCCAAGTCCTTCTGGAAATGCCATATTTTAGGGATTTTCTTGGTAATGCTGTGACCTCAGGTGGAGCATTATTTCACTGGAAAAGGCAGGCCACCAGAGTCCCTGAAGGGGTTTGAAAGGGAGTCAGAGGATGTTGGGTGGGCCAAAACCATTGAGAGAAAAGAAAAATCCTGAACCTTAAACAGGACAACCAGGATTGCACCTAGAAGCAACTTGGCAACTACGTAATACTCCAATCCTAGTAGTGGTGTCACTTGAGCAAATCAGGGATGCACTTAATTGAACTGTTGCATTCTCAAACAGCTTTAACTGATGCTCTTCAAAGGCGTCGCTATCAGAGGTGGTATTCAGCAGGTTCTGACCAGTTCTGGAGAACCAGTAGTGGAAATTTTGAGTAGTTCTCAGAACCGGTAAATACCACCTCTTACTGACCCACCAAGCCATGCCCACAGAACCAGTAGTAAAAAAAAAATAATCCCACCACTGATCGCTATATATAGTGTGTTACAATAATCCGGTCAAGAGATGACAAAATGTTCTTTTGAAATCATTGATTTAGCATCTCAAATCTTGTAAAACTTTCTATGTTTCTTAATCTGAGCCTCTGAAACTGAAAGAGAGATGTTGAACATAGCATACAGACCGAGATGAAACTGCCCAGAACGGAAACAGGATTAAAAAAAGAGACACATCAGATTAATTTGTAGTTGAGGAGTTGACTCTTCAGGAGAGACAGAGCCATCAGAGCATGACAAAACACAGTAAATTCCTGCAATAAAAGCTGCTATTTCCTACTGTTTTGATCATGGGCTATTAAACGGAGTAATCCCAATAATTTATTCTTTATCTGAAGAACTCAGAACTTGTGGGAAAAATCAGTGTCTCAAATGTCCCCAGAAGAACCCAAAGTTAAATGACATAGGAAAACATAGTCCTTGAAAGTTGACGCTAAATTTCGGCATGCTGTAATGCTTTTTCTTTTTTATTGTTTATGCTACAATAGACAAAACTGATTACTCCACCGGGGAATGTAGGAAGTGATGTTTGTTTGTTTGTAACCTCAAAGGACTCTCAGTTGGCTACGTCAGTGGGAAAAGGGCTGGACCGGATAAATTCTTCCCTAGGGACGTTCCCAACTCTCCAGCCAACCTTGATATTGAGAACTGATTCGTGGTTTTCTTTTTCTTTTTGTGCTTCCAGAGTTGACCTATCTGGGGCGTAACCTAACTGAACAAGCTTCTGCAGGATGAAAAGATGGCAGGGCGGTTGCTTGCACCACCAGGCCCTGACAGTTTTAGGCCTTTCACTCCGGAATCTCTGGCTAACATTGAGAAGCGCATTGCAGAAGATAAGAAGAAGCGTCCTAAGCAAGACAGCAGTCACAGAGATGACGATGAAGATAATAAACCAAAACCAAACAGTGACCTGGAGGCAGGGAAGAGTTTGCCTTTCATCTACGGGGACATCCCCAAAGGCCTGGTCGCTGTGCCACTGGAGGACTTTGACCCTTACTATATGACGCAGAAAGTGAGTCAGCAAACAACCAGCTATGTAAAAGTCAGCCTTCTGGTGATCAAAGGAGTTACAGATTTGGGTGGCTGGAGGCTCCACGTGAAAAGGGGGGGCAGAAAAACAACATCTGTGTGGCCTTTGTTTGAAAAGATGTATCTTGTCTTTGGGTTGGTGGGGGATGGGAGGAAAAAGAAAGAAAGAGAAAGTTAAGGGAGCAATCGCTTGGGCAGCTGAATTTTTCAAAACCACCACATAGTCTATGTCATTTAATGGTCGGAAGATTTAATGGGGAGGCAGTAATACATCCGAGAAAAATGGCAAATGAAGCTGAGAAGAAGATTGACTTTTATTAGCAAATGGTCCATCGAAATGAGGATAAGCTAAAAACTCTCCCTTCGCACCACACTTTTTCCCAGGGGAAAAAAGGAAAATAGGATGAGGTTAGTGGTTCAATTATATTTGCAAATATGCAAATGGGTACAGAAGTCATGTTTTGCGGCACCAAGAGATGCCCCAAAATGTTCTGGGGAAAACAATGATAAATCTGGCTGTTAAATATTAAAGTCTAACTTCTTAGGAAAATACATTGAATATAGGTGAACCAGAATGCAATGCGGAGAGAAACAATCAATCTCTCACCTTTATGGAAGCATATAATCCCTATAATTGGTGACTGTCAGGCTAGAGTAGCTTGTATAAATTGGCTAAAAAGAATGAAATGAGTGGAATGTCTTATTCCCCCCCCCCCCAGTGGGTGCATGCAAATAAAACCAAGTTCCAGCATTGGGGATTCTAAGTGGAAAACCAGACTTTTGTCAGCATATAAATGATATCCTCATATGAATAATGACAAACCAGAACTTATTTGTCTGGTAGCAATTGCAGATGCTCCAGTGTTTATAGAGAATGCTAAGCAGACTGAGGAAATTATTATTAGGGTTAGGATTAATACCACTGTCCACACATTGCTCAGATTTCTACCTGAATCAGTCTTGTTTCTTATTTCAGAGGTCATTTAAATCTTGGGCAATGTCTGTTAGCAGCAGGGAGCAAGACAAATAGTCAGTTTAACGTGTTGGAATCTAGAACACTTATCTCTCTTCCCATGGTTTCCAGGCTCTTGATTCCAGCATCTTACACTTCCACTAGACTGGTGTTTCTCAACCTTGGCAACTTGAAGCTGGGTGGACTTCAACTCCCAGAATTCCCCAGCCTGGCTGGGGAATTCTGAAAATTGAAGTCCACTTAGCTTCAACTTGCCAAGGTTGAGAAACATTACACTAAACAATATCCATCTCATGGCTTTATTTTCTGTTCTTTCCAGATACTTGGCTATGTTTACCTCACATGCCTAACTTGAAGACTAAATAATGGACTTTCTGAGTAACACATTGAATTACAAGCTACCCCTACAGGCTGGGTTCACACGGACAAAAAAACCCTAACCAAGATTAACCCCAAGACGGGTTTAGCCTGAGTAAATTATCTTCTAACCTTTCATCTGAGCTACCTGTTTGGGTTTTGTCATCATTTGCAGTGCATCGGTGTGAGAACGAAGAATTGCATTGTCAAGGATGCTTTCTTACATATATTCTCACAAGTTTGTTTCTTACAATATCATGAATAGGAGCCTCTTTCACTCTTCCTCCCCCTTCTTGATGCATTTGGGTGTTGTTTTGGATTTTTATTATTGCAGATCTGGAGGCTGAGTTCCAGAGTATATGATTAGCAAGGGATCCTTGGTGTTCTCTGAGCTTGCTTGTTTTCTTGTAGACATTTCATTGCCCAAACTAGTAAGGAATGGTGTTTGCTCTCAGTTTATATTCTAGTGGCTTTCCTGTCTGTGTGGGTGGGAGTAGTCTTAGAGGTCCTTTCATTGGGCTGTTTACTGATGGCCTTTTTGGCAATTTCTTGGTTGAGGTATTGCTTACTTGATTGTTGGTCTGGTGTTAACTTTGGAGTTAATCTATGCTGATCTGGGTGCTGATTGCTGGTGGAGAGATGCTTGGGTCTTTTTGTTCCTTTTTTGGGACAGGGTGATAGTCTTTTGTTTATTGTGTCTATTGATGGTTGTTTTGTCAGCGTGCCAGGCTTCTAGAAATTCCCTGGCGTTTTTGGGCTTGGTCAAGGATGGTCCCATTTTCCCAATTAAAACTATGGTTAAATCTGTCTATATGTTGTGAAATTAAAGAATCTTCATCATGTCTTCTGACTGCTAGTTGGTGTTTGTAGATATGTTCTGCCAGTCTTCTGCCTGTTTGTCCTACATAGTGGTTGTTGAAGTCCTTACTTTGTTTATTGTAGATGACTCCTGTTTTTTCTTCTGGGGTTGTTGGGTCTTTCAATTTGCTTAGGACTTTTCTTTTTAGAGAAACAACTCATCTCCCACAAGGGAAGCTGTGTAAGGACTTTATTTAAACCAGCCTAAACACACCGCAGCAACCCGGAATAGCAGAAAAAGAAAATAGAGCATATAGAATAGAATAGAATAGAATTGAATTGAATTGAATTGAATTATTTATTGGCCAAGTGTGATTGGACACACAATGAATTTGTCTTTGGTGCATATGCTCTCAGTGTACATAAAGAAAAATAAAATAGAAAACATTCATCAGGAATCATAGGATACAACATTTAGTGATAATCGTAGGTTACTAATAAGCAATCAAACTATACTAGGAAACAAATAAAACAATATCAAATTTAAAGATACAAGCAACATGGTTATAGTCATAAGTGGGAAGAGATAGGTACTAGGAAGGAAGAGAAAAATAATAGTAATACAGTCTTAGTAGGTAATATGACAGTGTTGTGGGAATTAGTTGTTTAGCAGAGTGATGGCATTCCGGGGAAAACTGTTCTTGTGTCTAGTTGTTCTGGTGTGCAGTGCCCTATAGCATCGTTTTGAGGGTAGAAGTTGAAACAATTTATGTCCAGGATGTGAGGGGTCTGTAGATATTTTCACAGCCCTCTTTTTGACTCATGCATATACAGGTCTTCGATAGAAGGCAGGTTGGTAACAATTGTTTTTTTCTGCAGTTCTAATTATCTTTTGAAGTCTGTGTCTGTTTTGTCAAAATGGATATCCATACAATTTTATCAAAAAGTCCCTAACCACTCAACCTTATGCAGCACAACCATCACAAACCCTAAAAAGAATCACACCATACATCAAGAATATCTCAGAAACACCAACAGTCTACTACAACCACATGGAATCAGTCTAGCACACAAGCCAATTAAAGCCCTTCAAAATATCCTAAGGAGACCAAAAGGAAGCTGACAGTGAGAAGGTCTTGAGGAGGTTTTGCTTCAAAATCTTCCTGTAAAATATATACATAATTCACATTTTGTGTTGAGTATAGAGTCTCCCGGCTTAGGAATGAACATGTTTTCCTGAGCTAAGGGGCCACTGGTAATTATTTACAGCATTCTGAAAGCTGCACTCTAGAATTGGTGAACTCAAAGGAAAGAGAAAGACTAGAGCAATAAATAAATATGGTATTGAATAAATAGAAGACATTGGTGAATAATAAAGCAAATGCTTCCAATAGGTTCAAAAGAAAGTCATGAAAGCCTTTGGCCAATTAATAGTGCCCAACGGCTTTTATGTAAACTGAAGACAAAATGTAATAAACCAACTAACATGAGTGCACACCCCACACACAAATGCTGGTCACCAAGTGAGAGATTGGAATGAAAGAAAAGTAATATTTTAAAGGCAACTGAGTCAATATGAAATTTTTCTCAGCATTCACTTTAACTGATTACTCTGAACATGTAAAGAATACTATTCCAGAACTTTTGTCCATTTTTAAAATCTTAAAACTACATTCTTAGTCTTTTCTTAAGAGCCATAGTGGCACAGTGGTTAGAATGCAGTACTGCAGACTACTTCTGATCACCGGCTGACAGCAGTTTGGCAGTTCGAGTCTCACCAACTCAAGGTTGACTCAGCCTTCCAGCCTTCCGAGGTTGGTAAAATGAGAACCCAGATTGTTGGCGGCCATATGCTGACTCTGTAAACCGCTTAGTGTAAAGCACTGTGAAGCAGTATATAAGTCTAAGTGCTATTGCTTTTCAGAGAGTTAAAAACCATTTCCAAGTGGTTTCTTCCTTTGTGTACCAATCATAGTGGTCAATGGAATTATGGACCACAGTTTGCATCTCGTTAACCATCTATGTATCCCTCTATTCTAAGTTCCAATTACCCAGTCTATCACATTATATGCTCATTACATTTATTTGCCACCCATTTCACCAAGGGGCTTTACTACGCTGGGTGGTTTAAATTAATTTAAAAAGTGAATAAATAAAAAATGAAAGCAGATTAGATGGACATCATCATATGCAACTGAAAATATACAAGTCACATTTATAGCTAAGAATGGCACCTCCATTGATTTTTATACCAGTTCATCTATTCTTGGTGTTATGCTTATTTGAAACTAGCTGATAACCCGACGTTGTCTGGGTATTTATTTATAGAGGGAAAATGTCCGGACCAAACATAATTTCTAATGTTGGATTTTCACCCTTATCAGAGGGAGCTCCCTTGTGGAGTACTGTGAAGCCATTACCATGGCAACTCCACTACACTGTACAGTAGAAGCCATTTTATGGCAGCACAGTAGAAGCCATTTTAAGGCACAACAGGCTGTATCTTAACAGAACACATACCCCGAGAGATGTTTGGGGTGTCTTACCCTCCACAGTATTTTTTTCCAGAGAGTAAATCATCTGTGTAAGTTTGGTTAAAATTGCTCAAGGCATTCCAGAGTAATGCTGGAACATTTACGTGCACCAGGGGTGGGTTACTGCCTGTTCTAACCTCTTCTGTAGAAAAGGTTCCACAAATTTACAGTGCCGTTTAGAACCGGTTCCAGCTCCCTCCCCCCACCTATCCGCACATCATCAAGATGAAGAGCGAGAGGAGGAATTCTGGGAGTTGAAATTCACAAGTCTTAAAGCTGTCAAGTTTGAACACCCCTGGTTTTTTTCTAAAGGGTTAGAGG